GGGCTATTTGAACCTTTGACTTCCCCCCCCCCCCCCCCCCCCCCCCCCCCCTCCGACACAATGAGTAAATTTTATTCACTCAGGCACGTCCTGAAATGATAGCAATGTTGTGTTTTTCTTTTCAGGCATTGCCTCACATCTACAGGAGCATTGGTTCCAAACATCTGCCACTGAAAGGAATCACTTTGATCCATTTGGATGCCCATCCTGATCTCCTCATTCCCAAAGATATCACGGCAGATCAAGTCTTTGACAAGGAGAAATTGTTTGAGTCAGTGGTGATTTTGATAATGTTTTTAAGTTAATTTGAATAAAGTTAGATTAATGAAATAAAATAAAAATTAAAAACAATTAAAATAAAACAAATAATAATAAGAAGAAGAAGATAAGTAAACATAACTTAGGAACAAATTTAGGATGTATACATGCATCCTCTACATGTATTAAACTTTACAATGTACATGGATACAAAAAACCATATGATATTATACTCTGTATATAATATATCTTCAAAACCCCAAATCCAGAAATTTACTCTTAGTAAGATGTATTTGATTTTTAAACTACTTATTTTTAACAACAAATAAAAATTTACTCATTGATTCATAAAAAAAGTATAATAAGAAATAAGAAATAATGTATTAAATATATCAGGATAATCAAACTGAGTGCATTTGATACATTGTAGGTCACTGAGCATTGAAAACTGGATTATCCCAGCAGTTTATGCAGGTCACATCACAGATATTGTGTGGGTGAAACCTCCCTGGGCACACCAAATGGAAGACCAGGAGACAGTCTGCTGCGTGGGAAAACACAAGACAACTAAGAAAATGATGTGGGTAGAACAACTTGGTCATTCCAAGTGTAAAGAAGCCAGTATGATACTTTAAATGATCTGCTAACTTTATTTGGATTTAAGTAAATAGAAAAAAATGCATCAATTTTTTTAAAATAAGAGTATTTGACAATCTACCAGTAATTATGTTTTCATTAATCTTTTAAACATATTTCTGTTGCATTGTTATTTTACTTATTTTGACATAATTAAATATATACATTATGTGTTAAGTTTTGATTTGTTAATTTCAACTTAAAACGGGTTTTAATTGAAAAAAAAATTTTTTTGTAATAGGAATATCTCATTTAAACTTTACATAACATATATTTTAGGATATCCTGCCCAGAAAACTATTTTATCAGTGAACTGTTGTTTGCCCCAGAAGAAGATTTGCTAGAGAAGAAAACACTACATCTGAAAGTGTTAACAATGGACTCTTCTATAAAATTGGAAGCAGCAGTGGAAGGAGATAGAAGTTTAGATCATATAACTGAGTCAGTGTCAAAATGCTGCTGCGAGACTGTGCAATGTGGAATTGTTTGTGGTGATTCTAAAAAAACGGCTGGAATTGTCTGTAGTGTATGCTGTAATGCAGAACTGGAGCAAGCTGCAAATACGAACAGTAGGGAACCCTCTGATAAAAACTGCTCCAAACAAAATCTCCATGCACCAGGAGTTAAAAGGGTTTTGTTGGATGAAGAGAGAGATAATAAAGATGACCAAATAAAAAGAGTAAAACCTGATTGTGGTTTAGGACAAATATCTGGTGACTGTAGCTCAACTGACAGATTGGATGTTATATGTAACAATGACAGTACTGTCACTAGGATTGTAAACAGTGCAGAAAAGACATCTAGCAAGGCTTATATTCTTGACATAGATTTAGATTTTTATTCCACGCAGAATCCATTTAAAATAACTTACACTGAAAAACAGTTTGAAATACTAAACAGACTGTATTATTTCAAAAGACCTTCACTGGGAAGAGAAGCTGAAGGCACCAGGGAAAGAGAAGCCCAGTTAAACTTTTTGCAAAATGTATTCAAAGATTTGTCGACTGGAAAGACATTCCATGAGATAAAGACTTCTACACAGGAAAAAGACCTCCAAAAGTGAGTCATTAGGTGACATATTTGTTGACATTTATATATTTTCCTAGAAAAGTTTTTGTGATGTTCTTCTGCTGCTTGATGGTATTGGTTGATAACTTAATCTTTATCAGTGACTTATTATATATCTGAGATAAGATATGTTCATCCAGTTTTTCATGAAGTAACTTTTCAAGCAGCTTACGCTATTTACATAGAAACAAAAATGTAACCTGTTTATGGGTGAATAATAATATTCATTGCATTGTTTGCGTCTCAATCATTTTTTAAGCATGAGCACACAACTCACCCAAAATGCCAAAAGTTTTGAAAAGTTATTAAACTGGCCACATAATTTTTTTGAACACATTTAATAAAAAATTAATAAACTTTTAGTATTATCTTTTAACTGTGTTTTATTATCCTACTTCAGGATAAAATTGGTTGAAGAACTGGTCTTAGACCTCCAGAAAAATACAGCTTCCATTGATTTTGAATGGCTTCATGAGGTTGGTTGTACATGTGATGATACAGAGTTACCTCATCATATAAGCAGTCCAGAAGAGATACATGCCCTTGTCAGGGCCACTAAGTCATCTGTGGAGCTTCTCCCTGTGAATCCTATAATGATTACTATATCCAGGTATGGATTGGAATGAAACAAAATTTATTGTGAATTAAAAAGTTAGTATTCATTGTATATTAAGTTTTAACTGCTCTTTAATGATGACAAAAGAATGGCCAAGTATTTCTGAAAGTGTAAGTATTTGATTTCTAGTCATAGGAAAAGTTGGATGAATGGAACATGGCCCTTAATGTGTGTTTTTTTTTTTTTTGCTTCTTTTAATTGTATGAAGAATGTTTTAATTACTTATTACATAAAAAACATTCAAAAATTGATTGACCAATCATCAGGAAAAAATATTGATGAGTTCTTGAAGTTTTCCAACCTTACAAATATTAACCCTTTTAAATGGCTTATGAAAAAAGTAATATATTAGATTATCAAATGCCCTTTTCAGGTCCAGTGAGGATGACTACTGTCCCCCCAGTCAAGTGGACTTTATCCAGACCCAGGTACTGGGCATGCTAAAGGAGGTGTATGGACAACTGGACATCAGATATGATTATGAAACAGAGTGACGGAGTTCTGCAGTTTTCTGGTTTTTTTTTGTATGGATGGACTCCTTGCTCGATGGTCTAGTTTTTTTTTTTTTTTTTGTGATGCATGCAGCCTTTATATTTAATACACAAGAGATGCACATATTTTGGCAAAGTGGATATTTTTTCAGGACGCAATATGTTGACAGTCGTAGTTATATCATTGAACCTACAATACTCATTATCATGAACACCAACTACGTTAGTTTTCTTTAAAATATTTTGAATATATTATGAATAACTAGGGATTGATGTAATAAATTTAATACACTCTCAGCAATTTTCTCTAGGTGCACTGTGATATATGTTGGATTAAATACTAAAACAGATTGCCATTAAAGCAGATTAAAGTGTGGTTCTAAAATAGTTTATTATAGTTTAACAAGTGTTTTTTTCTAATTTGATACTTCAAAATAGAGTTCTGTTTTATCCCCCAGAAGAATATAATTTTACAAGTGTGTTTTTTTTCCATATTACACGTCAAAATGGAAGTTTATTCTCTCCCCCAGACGACTACCAGTTCGATGTCATGGCGGTCCATCAATACTCGTCCTCGTTCTTGCACGCAGCTATAACGTCTGGGTGAGGATAGTCTGCCAAAGATCGTTCCTAAAAAGACAACAATGTTTTGATTCAGTAAACAATTTTGGGCCATTCCATAATAAATTGAAGAAAAAAAGCATTTCAGTCACGTTTTGTGTAGTATTTTCATATATATTTTTAAATTCTTTTGCTTAATACTAAAGTGACCTCTCATATCACAAGAAATTCTGCGTGTAGTGACCCAATTAAAACAGTTGTATCGTCAACGCTAATTTTAATGCTGCATTGTTCGAAAGCGTAAAAAAAGACACAAACAGGAGAAAAATAACGAAATTGTGAAATATTCATAACTCCTGACATAAATATATCTACGAATATGATGTTTTTGAATTCATAATTCAACAGTAGAGACCTGGATTTTGTGTATGAAATAGGTGACAGTGCAGATGTGAAATATTTCAGCATCATTTATTACCGGTACTGACCAATTTCTTTCTTGTTTCTTCTACCTGTGCTTTCATGGATGCCAAACATTGCTAAAAAGCAATAATAAATAAATAAATAAATAAATAAATAAATAAATATTATTTCTATCTGAAATATTTTGGTTTCAATTTTTTGTGGCTCTACTGAGTAACTGCAAAGTAGAAACAGCATTAGGGGGCGCTGAAGTTATTGTGCTTAGTTTCCAGTTTTAATTTTTTTCAAAAACGATTTTGGCAACCAAAGAAAGTATCGTTATGTCTGGAAGGAACATATATTCTAGCTGCATATAATTACAGCTGGGAATCTAGGTCCGGGTAGGGCAGTACATTCTAGGAAACACGGCCATATTACATGTAGCTACTGGTTACCATAATCAAGGAGTTAACTCCTTGCCACCTTGCCATAATCGTTTTTGATAAACGAAACTAGAAATTAACTCCACCGCTCTCATCTTCATAGCTTCGTATGTGACATTTAAATACACCATTGAATCTGAAGCTTATAAAAGATATTTTTAAAATGTTATTTGTTTCATCTCAAATACTCGCTAAACCTCACCATCGGCGACTGCCGCCTCTCCATATAGCATTCCACCACAAGGGCCCACTGTTGCGATAGAGGCTCACATTTCTGCCATGGGTGACTCTCGCTGCGGGGCTGCCACCGTGCTGCCGATCTTTGGACACATTTGGCAGCGTGATATTTGTTGGTTGGTTCCGAAGAATCCTCCATTTACATCAATTGCTCAGTTTTTATGTATTAAAGATTTGATATCGATAATTTAGATTTAATGCTATCAACTCTTTCAACGCAAGTGGTTTTCCCGTTGGTTGGTTTGGTTTCCACTGCAACCAATCTAGCTGTGTGACGTCATAGTACTCATGCGTTACTGACGTCACAGACGATGGTGATTTTATGGCGTCACGTTTATCTTAACGTTACAATGGATAATGCTAGCGTAGCTGACTGAAGGGGATTCTCATAAGTTCAATAAAATCAATTAATTTAGGGAAAAGTGCAATAAATTAATTAATTTATTTATTTATCGTCTTGGGGGCAGGCTTCTGCAATCAGGCCTTGAGAGAGAGGGAGAGAGGGAGGCAGTGGATATAAAAATTAAAATCAGGAAAGGTTTTTTTTTTTTTTTTTTTTTACAAATAAAAATACTGTTTTCGCCTTGGCGCGTCATGTATAATAAACCTAACACCACTTTGCTTTCAAGTTAAGTGTTAAACTAAGTTATATATAGGTCTGTATTAAGCAGTATTCCGGCTAAATGTATTGCAATAAGGGAGAGATACGGGGTAGTGGAGTGCGCTTGTCTCAAGATTAACAGGCACAACGTAGAACGATTGAACAAAATAACCGTACAATGTCAAAAGTATTCAGTACGGTACTGTCAGCAAATATCATGATAATAAGGTATCGGGCTTAAAACGGAATGCAAAACATTTCTTTATTACAAATTTGACATGTTTATTCCTTGCATCATTTGACTTTTTTTGTAGTCGTTACATGTAAAACTATAGTATACATGTAGTATTATAGACAGAATATTAATAATCATAAAGCGTCGTCGTCTTCATCCGAGATGGATTCTACTGCTTCAGCTTTTTTCATGTCCATTTTTAAATTTACCATTTCTTCCTCATCGGCAGGTAATTTTTCTTTGTCCTTGCTGCGGCGAACTCCTTTCTCATTGCCGTCTTTCTTTTCCACAGCGTCTTTGAATTTCTTACCCTTATCAAAACACTTATGTTTTATGGTAAGTGCAATTAAAGCCGAGATCGGTGGGAACATCTGACATATGGACTGAATTATGGGAAAGATGGCCGCCAAATCCCCTTCAGGTTGGGCGAGAGAAAACTGAAGAATAAGGATAGGAATACCTATATTCTGTATGCCAGTTTCTAAAGAAATCGTAATGGCTCTCTTGCGGGGCTGCCGAAATATTTTAGCGATTACAAACCCAAACAAGAATCCGCACCATGGCGTTAACGCCCCGACGCCAATCAAACGCGGACGTTTACCCATCAGTATCCACATATAAAGATTTACGTATACCCCAAATGAGTACACATATACAATAAATATTAACGCTAGGGGGCGTATTAAGCGCTTCGTTTTGTCGGCCATGTGAGGTTTCCAGAGTCGAAAGAGAATGCCTATTAAAATAGGGCCGACCAGGGACGCTATGGTGACGGCAATGGAAGCGTATGGGATCTTGATCTTGCTTTCGTCGATGTAGAATCGCCCCAACAGAAATAACCACAGCGGCATGACGCCTAGGAGAAAAAACATGTTTGTTATCTGAAAATCTTACAGCTACTCTTTTTATGTGGGAAAACATTATGGCAACATTTTTAAAATTAAAAATGAAAAAAAAAATGAAAATTTAAAATATCTTTTAAAAATTAAAATTAAAAAAAAAACATATTAAAAAAATTGTCTCCGTCAAATTATCAACGTCATCTGCAGAAAAGTTGCAGAAAAGTCTTCCGAAATTGTCGTTTTCACAAAAAATCCAAAATGTTAAATATCAAAGAGAAAGTCTCACAGATGCGCATGCCCCACAGAAATCAGTGGCATGAAGCGGAGAATGCGTCCTTGTACATGCATATGCATGGGTATATGTGTGCGGTGTGGAATGTGTGTAGTAGCATTGCATAGCATAGCATATAGCATTGTATTCCAAAGTGTCATACCCAGTGACACGCAGGTGCTCAGGAACGTCATAGTAATGCTGAGCTCCAGCTCCCCTCCTAGGAGTATAGTCCAGACGTTACTGGACCCACCCCCGGGACTACAGCCTATGGTCAGAAGGCCCAGGCCGAAAGCGTCCTCGATCTGTGTGATTTGGCCCACGGCGAACGCCAACTGGAAGAAGTAATTCAAACTGGAACTTAATTGTGGTTTCTATCGGGATTCGTTTCGTATTTGCAGATTTATTTCTTAAAACAAAATAATAATAATAATAATAATAATAATAATAATAATAATAAATAAATAAATAAATAAATAAATAAATGAAATTAAAAGACAAATAAATAAAAAGTCTAAAGTATTAGCCTGTTAAAAAAGAGTAGTTTTTCATCATCTTGAACAAAATAATAAATATTCAAAATCTTACTGCATCTTTTTCTTGTCACCGTATTTGCAAAATTCTCATATTGAGAAGGGGGTACGGGATAAAGGGATTTCGGCCTGAAGCCGAATTCAAAAATAAACACTTACTAGAGGCATGAGAACATACTGGGACGCAAAACCAATGGCTGGCGCCAGCGGCTTCTTCAAAATGTCCCTGACGATGCCCATGTCTAAGGTGCACCCCATCAGCATGGTGAGAAACGCCACGAATGCTGACGTCACGACCCGAAACGCGGTATCTACTGGCCTACGTTTTCTGATAACTACGACGTCCTCGTATACCTTGAGTATAGAAGTAGTATTGTCGTCCAGATGTGCACCGTCAGTGTAGACATTGTCATTTTTCTCGGCGATTTTGTAGAAATTCAAGGTGATATCAGTTCTACCCAGGCGTAGTCCTTTGATTAGTAGCTGGCCTGAGCAGGACATAGATCTTTCAAATTTGCTGCCGTTTTTGAATCCCTCTGTTGAGAAAATGAAGTTATTGTTTTGTAAGACCCTATAGATCAAAGTGTTACTGTCGTCGTTGGCTGCTCGACGGTAAGATGTAGTGAAGTTTTCCAGAGACGAACCAGTTCCAGAAGTCGCGTTGCGGCCTACAGTGTTCTCATAGCGGTCGTCGATATACAGCACGCTCGCTACCTCAACATCTGTTACAGCCACGTGAACTGAAAAATTCCTCCACTGCGGACAGCTAAAATTTAAAAAGACGAGCTTTTCCTGTCCTTCCACGATCAAGATATGAGAGGGATCAAATGAAATGTTGAAGTCATGCGACATGGCGGGTACTGCACATGTCATAACAATCCAAAACNATTTAATTTTTCACTTATTTGCATCTTTATTTTCTGTTTTTTTGTCTGTACATTTGTCAGCTTTGCTGCCTTGTTTTTTGCTTCTTTTAATTGTATGAAGAATGTTTTAATTACTTATTACATAAAAAACATACAAAACTTGATTGACCAATCATCAGGAAAAAATATTGATGAGTTCTTGAAGTTTTCCAACTTTATAAATATTAACCCTTTTAAATGGCTTATGAAAAAAGTAATATATTAGATTATCAAATGCCCTTTTCAGGTCCAGTGAGGATGACTACTGTCCCCCCAGTCAAGTGGACTTTATCCAGACCCAGGTACTGGACATGCTGAAGGAGGTGTATGGACAACTGGACATCAGATATGATTATGAAACAGAGTGACGGAGTTCTGCAGTTTTCTGGGTTTTTTTTTTTTTTGTACGGATGGACTCCTTGCTCGATGGTCTAGTTTTTTTTTTTTTTTGTCATGCATGCAACCTTTATATTTAATACACAAGAGATGCACATATTTTGGCAAAGTGGATATTTTTTCAGGACGCAATATGTTGACAGTCGTAGTTATATCATTGAACCTACAATACTCATTATCATGAACACCAACAACGTTAGTTTTCTTTTAAATATTTTGAATATATTATGAATAACTAGGGATTGATGTAATAAATTTAATGCACTTTCAGCAATTTTCTCTAGGTGCACTGTGATATATGTTGGATTAAATACTAAAACAGATTGCCATTAAAGCAGATTAAAGTGTGGTTCTAAAATAGTTTATTATAGTTTAACAAGTGTTTTTTTCTAATTTGATACTTCAAAATAGAGTTCTGTTTTATCCCCCAGAAGAATATAATTTTACAAGTGTGTTTTTTTTTTACATTTTATACGTCAAAACAGAAGTTTATTCTCTCTCCCAGAAGACTACCAGTTCGATGTCATGGCGGTCCATCAATACTCGTCCTCGTTCTTGCACGCAGCTATAACGTCTGGGTGAGGATAGTCTGCCAAAGATCGTTCCTAAAAAGACAACAATGTTTTGATTCAGTAAACAATTTTGGGCCATTCCATAATAAATTGAAGAAAAAAAGCATCTCAGCCACGTTTTGTGTAGTATTTGCATACATATTTTTTAATTCTTCTGCTTAATACTAAAGTGACCTCTCATATCACAAGAAATTCTGTGTGTAGTGACCCAATTTAAAACAGTTGAATCGTCAACGCAAATTTTGATGCTGCATTGTTCGAAAGCGTAAAAAAGACACAAACAGGAGAAAAATAACGAAATTGTGAAATATTCATAACTCCTGACATAAATATATCTACGAATATGATGTTTTTGAATTCATAATTAACAGTAGAGACCTGGATTTTGTGTATGAAATAGGTGCCAGTGCAGATGTGAAATATTTCAGCATCATTTATTACCGGTACTGACCAATTTCTTTCTTGTTTCTTCTACCTGTGCTTTCATGGATGCCAAACATTGCTAAAAAGCAATAATAAATAAATAAATAAATAAAAAATAAATAAATAAATATATAAATAAATATTATTTCTATCTGAAATATTTTGGTTTCAATTTTTTGTGGCTCTACTGAGTAACTGCAAAGTAGAAACAGCATTAGGGGGCGCTGAAGTTATTGTGCTTAGTTTCCAGTTTTAATATTTTTTCAAAAACGATTTTGGCAACCAAAGAAAGTGTCGTTATGTCTGGAAGGAACATATATTCTAGCTGCATATAATTACAGCTGGGAATCTAGGTCCGGGTAGGGCAGTACATTCTAGGAAACACGGCCATATTACATGTAGCTACTGGTTACCATATTCAAGGAGTTAACTTCATGCCATAATCGGTTTTGATAAACGAAACTAGACATAAACTGCACCGCTCTCATCTTCATAGCTTTGTATGAGACATTTTTAAATTAAAAAATACACCATTGAATCTGAAGCTTAAAAAAGAAGCCCCGCTAAACCTCACCATCGGCGACTGCCGCCTCTCCATATAGCACTCCACCACAAGGATCCACTGTTGCGACAGAGGCTCACATTTCTGCCATGGGTGACTCTCGCTGCGAGGCTTCCACCGTGCTGCCGATCTTTGGACACATTTGGCAGCGTGATATTTGTTGGTTGGTTCCGAAGAATCCTCCATTTATCTCAATTGCTCAGTTTTAATGTATTAAAGTCTTAATATCGATAATTAAGATTTAATGCTATCAACTCTTTCAACGCAAGTGGTTTTCCCGTTGGTTGGTTTGGTTTCCACTGCAACCAATCTAGCTGTGTGACGTCATAGTACTCATGCGTTACTGACGTCACAGACGATGGTGATTTTATGGCGTCACGTTTATCTTAACGTTACAATGGTTGATGCTATCGGTACTGACTATAGGAACTTCTAGTTCAATAAAATAAATAAAGGGAAAATTGCAAGGAATTTTAATCTAGTCTTATTTATTTATTTATTTATTTATTTATTTATTTATTTATTTATTTATTTATTTATTTATTTAATATCTTGGGTGTATTTAAAGGTCCAACGCCCACAACCAGGCTTTTGTAATCAGGTTTTGAGAGAGAGAGAGAGAGAGAGAGAGAGAGAGAGAGAGAGAGAGAGAGAGAGAGAGAGAGAGAATTACAAACAGGAAAGGGTTTTTTTATTAATAAAAATACTGTTTTCGCCTTGGCGTCATGTTTAATAAACCTAACACCACTTTGCTTTCAAGCTAAGTGTTAAAATACTATATATATAGGTCTGTATTAAGCAGTATTCCGGCTAAATGTATTGCAATAAGGGAGAGATACGGGTTAATGGAGGAACGCTTGTCTAAAGATGAACAGGTACAACGTAGAAAGATTGAACAAAATAACCGAACAATGTCAAAAGAATTCAGTATGGTACTGTCAGCAAATATCATGATAATAAGGTATCGGGCTTAAAATGGAATGCAGAACATTTCTTTATTACAAATTCGACATGTTCATTCCTTGCATCATTTGACTTATTTTGCAGAGTGTATAGTCGTTACATGTAAAACTAGCATAGTATTATAGACAGAATATCAATAATCACAAAGCGTCGTCGTCTTCATCCGAGATGGATTCTACTGCTTCAGCTTTTTTCATGTCCATTTTTAAATTTACCATTTCTTCCTCATCGGCAGGTAATTTTTCTTTGTCCTTGCTGCGGCGAACTCCTTTCTCATTGCCGTCTTTCTTTTCCACAGCGTCTTTGAATTTCTTACCCTTATCAAAACACTTATGTTTTATGGTAAGAGCAATTAAAGCCGAGATCGGTGGGAACATCTGACATATGGACTGAATTATGGGGAAGATGGCCGCCAAATCCCCTTCAGGTTGGGCAAGAGAAAACTGGAGAATAAGGATAGGAATACCTATATTTTGTATGCCAGTTTCTAAAGAAATCGTAATGGCTCTCTTGCGGGGTTGCCGAAATATCTTAGCGATTACAAATCCAAACAAGAACCCACACCATGGCGTCAACGCTCCAACGCCAATCAAACGCGGACGTTTACCCATCAGTATCCACATATAAAGATTTACGTATACCCCAAATGAGTACACATATACAATAAATATTAACGCTAAGGGGCGTATTAAGCGCTTCGTCTTGTCGGCCATGTGAGGTTTCCAGAGTCGAAAGAGAATGCCTATTAAAATAGGGCCGACCAGGGACGCTATGGTGACGGCAATGGAAGCGTATGGGATCTTGATCTTGCTTTCGTCGATGTAGAATCGCCCCAACAGAAATAACCACAGCGGCATGACGCCTAGGAGAAAAAACATGTTTGTTATCTGAAAATCTTACAACTACTCTTTTTATGAAGGAAAATATCATGGCAACATTTTTAAAAATAAATATGAAAAAAATTAAATCTTTAAAAAATCTTTAAAAAATAAAAAAAAAACAAATTAAAAAAATTGTCTCCGTCAAATTTCCAACGTCATCTGCAGAAAAGTTGCAGAAAAGTCTTCCGAAATTGTCGTTTTCACAAAAAAATCCAAAATGTTAAATACCAAAGAGGAAGTCTCCCAGATGCGCATGCCCCGCAGAAATCAGTGACATGAAGCGGAGAATGCGACATTGTACATGCATATGCAAGGGTATATGTGTGCGATGTGGTATGTGTGTAGTAGCATTGCATAGCATAGCATATAGCATTGTATTCCAAAGTGTCATACCCAGTGACACGCAGGTGCTCAGAAACGTCATAGTAATGCTGAGCTCCAGCTCCCCTCCTAGCAGTATAGTCCAGACGTTACTGGACCCACCCCCGGGACTACAGCCTATGGTCAGAAGGCCCAGGCCGAAAGCGTCCTCGATCTGTGTGATTTGGCCCACCGCGAACGCCAGCTGTAAGAGTAAGTCAAACAGGAGATCAATTGTTGTTTGTATCGGGGTTCGTTTCGTGTTCGGAGATTTGCTTCTTAAAACATAATAATAATAATAATAATAATAATAATAATAATAATAATAATAAATAAATAAATAAATAAATATATAAATAAAAATGTCCAAAGTATTAGCCTGTTAAAAATAATATTTTTTCATCATCTTGAACAAAATAAAAAATAGTCAAAATCTCATCTTTTCCATGTCACGATATTCGCAAAATTCTCATATTGTGAAGGGGGTACGGGATAAAGGGCTTTCGGCCTGAAGCCGAATTCAAAAATAAACACTTACTAGAGGCATGAGAACATACTGGGACGCAAAACCAATGGCTGGCGCTAGCGGCTTCTTCAAAATGTCCCTCACGATGCCCATATCTAAGGTGCACCCCATCAGCATGGTGAGAAACGCCACGAATGCTGACGTCACGACCCGAAACGCGGTATCTATGGGCCTACGTTTTCTGATAACTACGACGTCCTCGTATACCTTGAGTATAGAAGTAGTATTGTCGTCCAGATGTGCACCGTCAGTGTAGACATTGTCATTTTTCTCGGCGATTTTGTAGAAATTCAAGGTGATATCAGTTCTACCCAGGCGTAGTCCTTTGATTAGTAGCTGGCCTGAGCAGGACATAGATCTTTCAAATTTGCTGCCGTTTTTGAATCCCTCTGTTGAGAAAATGAAGTTATTGTTTTGTAAGACCCTATAGATCAAAGTGTTACTGTCATCGTTGGCTGCTCGACGGTAAGATGTAGTGAAGTTTTCCAGAGACGAACCAGTTCCAGAAGTCGCGTTGCGGCCTACAGTGTTCTCATAGCGGTCGTCGATATACAGCACGCTCGCTACCTCAACATCTGTTACAGCCACGTGAACTGAAAAATTCCTCCACTGCGGACAGCTAAAATTTAAAAAGACGAGCTTTTCCTGTCCTTCCACGATCAAGATATGAGAGGGATCAAATGAAATGTTGAAGTCATGCGACATGGCGGGTACCGCACATGTCATAACAATCCAAAAAGCGATGTATGGACTTAAAAGCATTTTGTGCTGTTCATAGACCGACAGTGTGTTAAGATATCAACTCGACTTTTCCTGTTTGTGTTCACACTGATAAGATAATACGGCTCCGATTACTATTCTTAGAGCGCATTCAGAACACCGGACTATCCACAGATCAAATACGGCTGACCCACTTGAATGCTTGTTGCGTAATCCCCGCGGGGAATCTCTTCAGTGTCTAATAGGGAATGAAGCGGCAAGCTTTTTAGCGGATCGCCATATTTGATCCGCGGATCTGTTAGCACGCTGTCCTGAATGCATTCTCATATTATTATCAGTTTTATTTGCTGTGAACGATAATATAGAGGGTGAGGTAATAGGTTATATAAATGGAGAAAAAACACTTGTGGACCCGGAGTTTTTGCTATGGCAACACGAGGATGAAAAGTTTGGGATTGGGAATAAGTTTTCTATCATTTCATGGAATACGGGTGGTAACATCTCTCAGGTCTGTCTCGCTTCGCTCTAATATTGTTTCTATCTTTCTTTTTTGTTTGGGGTGGGGTGTGTGTGTGTGTGTGGGGGAGAGGGGGGAGGCACAACTCCCGAAAACTCCATAAAATCTGTTTGTAAATAGCAAACACAGATAACATACGTATTAACACTAGTTAATTTATAAAGAAGTAGAACGAAACAGCAATAACACAAATACGTTAATGAATACTTCCAAACTTTGAAGAGCTTTTATCAGTGAAGGACTAAGTCGTCACAAGTAGAGCAAAAGGTCTTCACAGGCCAATCTCACACCAGGTTTGTCCAAGATAAAGACCTTATATACCTAAACGATTAGTGCCGTTTTACACTTTTCTTAATTCTATTTAATTAATTCTAAATTAATGCTTTTTCAAGCCTTTGAATCAAGCTTATTTAGACTATTTTTTAAAGATAGGTTTGCCACAATATATGTAAAACAAACAAACAAACAATATCCTTTAGCTGATAACAATGCTCTTTTTCTCTCTGTGTCAAGCTAAGCAGATACTTTGGCAGAGATGGCAGGATATTTACTAATGAATATGAGCCGCATCTTGCACTTTCCTAATTAATAAAGAAAATCAAACATTCTTATACCCGTGTTCAAATCACGTGAAAACAAGTCGCTGCATCATGTAAACAGTTTATTTATTTATTTATTTATTTATTTATTTATTTATTTATTTATTTCGGTTCACTTCTTTGTGACCATGGCGTACCGAATCCAACATAAAATAATAATAATAATAATAATAATAATAATAATTAGCAGAAGAAGAAGTAAAANTGCTCTTTTTCTCTCTGTGTCAAGCTAAGCAGATACTTTGGCAGAGATGGCAGGATATTTACTAATGAATATGAGCCGCATCTTGCACTTTCCTAATTAATAAAGAAAATCAAACATTCTTATACCCGTGTTCAAATCACGTGAAAACAAGTCGCTGCATCATGTAAACAGTTTATCTATTTATTTATTTCGGTTCACTTCTTTGTGACCATGGCGTACCGAATCCAACATAAAATAATAATAATAATAATTAGCAGAAGAAGAAGAAAAAGGGCCAAAAAAAAAAAAAAAGAAAATTGTTAATATTTTCTGAGCACTTGGCTCGTTCACAAAAACAATTAAAACTCCTTCAGTAGTTCGACGGGCACCAGTTGTATGGTTTGAGTGTTGACGGTTAGGCCTATTCATTATACAACATTTTATATATATATATATATATATATATATATATATATATATATATATATATATATATATATATACCTACAATAAGTGCACTGTCATGGTATAGCTGGCGCAAAATCAGAAGTGCACACGTGACAATTTAATCATTGACAATTGTTCCAATTACTAGTCCCAGGCATGCGTTCGCCAAGGGCCTGGGGATCACAAATGCGACCCAAAGCGGTGTCCGTTATGCTTACATATCATTTCACTGTGGAAAAGGCTGCGTTAATTATTTGCTTTATCCCAATCGATTGTGTCATTAACTGCATGGCAGCATAAGTGAAATGTAATCACTCGAATTGTGAAATTGCAGAAAGGCACATTACGCGTGTAAAGCAGTTTGCAGCAATCCGCAGTCTTAGTACTTTCAGATAAAACTTCGACTAGATTATTTGCTCTGTCCACAAAGAAATGCAACGTCATACATATATACGTAATACATTACAAACGGTGTTTGTGCTCTATTATTTTTCTGACTTAGACATCTTTGATTTGCTTAAAGTATAAATAACGTAAATTAGGGGTTTTAAAGATTAGCTTGTTGAGAGTTTGCAATGTATTCCGACAGATGAAGAAATGAATTAAATAAAAAAACAAAAGCGTCAATCAAAGCGTTCAATATTTGAGATCGATTTATCTCCCAGGGGTGGATACGGGTGGATTCTTGTTCCTGTATCTGGCACCAAAGGTTTGCCTTTTCTTTTGATGCAGTCACGTCTATCATCACCAATACCCTAGATACGGGAAAGTTGCTTCGACATTCTGGGCTGTTTTTATAAAAAAAAGCTATAGCACGAAAATGGGTTTAGACTTCAAGACCAAAAATTGAGCCTAGTTTAATCCAAGACAAATCTCTTGTGTTCTATTTGTGTTTAAGAATTAAGTAAGTAATCAAGTAGTAATCCAAAATTGGGGTATATATATGTATTTCTCGTTACAAAACAGACGCGATAACCCATTAATTGCTGATTTACTTTGTGTCAAAGATCATTTGAACTTAAAGATTAGACCCATTTTCAGTACATAGCTTTCTTGTGACTGGCTTAGAGACCATTCCCACAGATATTTAGATCGATTTATCCCCCCCACCGGGAAGTCTCACTAATTTGCTGTCAGCTTAACAGGCTTAAATGTCTGTCCCGCCTACTAAAAGCTGTAAGGGGGTAAATAATTCAGCTCCCGGAAACTGACGGCAATTTACCGTGAACCCCCAGGGAATTAGGTCGATCCAGATGGATCGATTTAAATCTGTGGGAACCCAGTCTTAGTTCTACCGCGTGAGCAAGGGGTGCACCGCATGTAATCTATAATGGATTACTAAGTGGCTATAACGGATACCCTTACGATGACATCTGACAACTGCCTTTAAGACACCAATTTGCTTGGCTTCAACTTTGCTGTCGAAAAGGGTGACCAGGAATATGACACCGTCAGTGCGATGTATCGTACTTTTCATTGCAGCAGCTAACAGCCTTTTCTCCTATTCCTTGGGCGTTAATGTAACGTTCAGTCCAACGAGCATTCTCCTTATTGAGGAAAGAGGTACAGCGCTTCACTTCAACTACAGTTGTTATGGCTGGATGAACATTTCCATACGCGCTTGGACCAAGGACAGTCGGGTTGCCAGTGCGCGGTACTTTGACGACAGTTTCCATGGTGACAACAGTTCTGTTTCTATGACGACAACCAACCCAAGTGCTGTTGTTACTCCGCAGCTAAATGTAGAATGCAGTGGCAAAATTCAAATCAATGCTCGGCGGCTTGGACGGACCGAGATTAGCTTAGAGTTCACGTATATAAAAGAATATAGCAACCAAAAAGCAGGCTCTGTACATGTGGAGCTTCAAACTGAGACCGTCGTCTACCCTGACCTGGTGGTCATACGTGCACCACGTCTGATAGATCAGATATTTAGGTATGTCACAACAACATTGGTTGCTATTATCACGTTCTTTATGGGCTGCACGTTGAACATAGAGACCGTGAAAGGCATTCTGAAGAAACCAGTGGCTCCTTTGCTGGGGTTTTGCTCTCAGTACGTGATGATGCCTCTGGTAAGTGGTTCTTAGAAACAAAGGGGCCATTCCCAGACCCTATCGTACTAACTGTGGATCGATCTATCTCCGAGGGGATTGTCGCTGTATTGCAATCAACTTAAGCGGCTTAGATGTATACACGCCTATTGAAGCTGCAAGGGGGTAATTGATTATCGTTTAACAGATTCAGTACGCGTACCAGACATCTAAGTCTTTTATGGTGAAACCAATTTACCGAGAAACTTCTCTGAGATGGATAGATCCTGTTAGATTGATCTAGGTATGGAAACCCAGTCATAAATACCTAGAAATGATATGAAGTCGTTGTGATATACACTTTGTTCGATTTTAGAGTTGTTTTTCGGTGAAATGCCGGGACTTTCTCTAAGCATGTATGTCAAATGAAACCCTGTGACCCTTTCGTAATATATTCTTTGTTCTGGCAAGTGCCGCTCAAGTGACCATGAATTTTCTCGTTTTTTTTTTTTTTTTTTTTTTTTTTTTTTTGCTGATTTGCCTCAATAGGTGCGAATCTTTAATATTCACGAGAATCTATGTCTTGCAGAATACTTTGCTTGTTTTTGCTCAAAAAATGATAATAATTATTATAATTATAACAACATTTGTTTATATTTCGCAGCTGGCTTTTGCAGTCTCTCAGATCACTCAAGTGGAACCAGCGTTTGGACTAGGCCTTCTGACCATAGGCTGTAGTCCCGGGGGTGGGGCCAGTAATATCTGGACCGTCTTGTTAGGAGGGGAACTGGAGCTCAGCATCACTATGACGTTTCTGAGCACTTGCCTGGCTCTAGGTGAGGAGATAGAGAGAGATAGAAAACTATCTACTCTATTAAAACTAATTACCTTGTAACTCATTGGAAATACGGTTCCCCGCAAACACTTACGAAATTGCCTATCACTTCTACATATGTATAAAGACCTAATACAGATAACGTTATTTTGTTCTAGGCATGATGCCCCTGTGGCTATTCCTCCTGGGCCGTTTCTTCGTCGATGAAAGTAAGATTAAGATTCCTTACGACAACGTCGCTACAACTATTGCCACCCTCGTGGGACCTGTCGCCTTGGGGTTGCTTTTACATCTATGGAAACCCAAGCTTGCAATGAAGTGCAAACGTCTTATACGCCCACTTGCGTTAATTTTTCTGATATATATTTAC